ACAGATAAGTCCCACATCTCTCAGAACACGTCTTTTGGTGTATGGGCCACCAGATTCAGATACCTTAAAATTTCAGGTCAGCTTGGTTCATGTTATCATCAACTGAGAAAATACCTGCAACATTCAGATTAAGGTGTGGATTTTGCACTCCAGGTTTAAAGCCATCAGGGTAGGACAGAGCTCTGCCTGCTGGGCTTACTCCACAACCTCCTAATCAGCTTCCTTAAGCACCCACAATACATGTGGATGTAAAAAAAATACGTATATATTCCTCTCTCCCCAAACAGTCCTTTTAGGGGCTGCAACCCTAGGTATTGCGGATTAAATAAGTCAGTTCCTCTGACAAAGACCTATTTGGTTGAACTTTAAACAAGGAACATTTAGAAATCTCTAAAACTTTAACCATCAGTGTGTAACAGCTTCCAGGACATTCCCCACCTTGTAACATTTAAAACAATGATTCATTTTCATAAGAAATATGTTACTGCCTGAAACTAACTCTCAAATAATGTTCATTATCTGCATGGTCTGTGTTTCAGCACATGAAGTTTCCAGCTACTAACACTGGACATTATGAAATCTTTTACATGACATCAGCTTTCCCATGAGCAGCCAGCTATAAAACACATAATTTTTAATCTGCATTTGATTGCCACAGTCTAAAAATCATAGAATTTATGAGAGCTACAAATCATTTTTAGACTGTGCAGTGTGGACTAAAAGCCATGGGTTTTGGTTCAGCTTGTTGATATTTCCTGAAAACATGAAACAATTCTGAAAGGACAGATTTCCTGGCTCTCAGCTAAAGGTCAGCAGTCACACAGGGACTGCTTGCTAAGTGTACTGAAAGGAAAGACCGGCACAACACTGCAGTATTATTAAAATGTGATTTAAGTGGGGAAAAAGGAGAAAAGAGAGAAAGAGACAAAGATTAGACTCTCAACAAGTGAGCGTTCACCAAGATTAGAAAAACAGCCCTGTTCCTGGCTGCTTGCAGCCCTCACCAATCACCACTTGCTCTTGCTCCCTCTTTCTGCCCCTCTGCCAGTCCTGCAGCCCCAACCTGTGCTGCCATCCCAGGCTGCACTGCCTCAGAACATGACTGCTCTGACCAGGCATCACAAATCACTTCTCTAGCCTTTCTCACATCATCCAGAAGTTTGTCCAAGCTCATCTCAACAGACTATGGAGGTACGAGTTTCACTGGGGCAGAAAGGAGTCCACAAGTCCTGCAACTGTGCAACACTGACACGCAGTTGTGTGATAGGCAAAAAAAAAAGCTCATTTTCCCAAGGAATTTCTCCCAAACATGCTCGATGTTTATCACTTGCTCTCAGCACAACCAAGAGCCAAAGCACTGCTCTGCCTAGAGCCTGATCTGCCCAGAGCTTGATCTGCAGCCGGCAGAGGGGGCACAGCAGCTCACAGCCGTGTTCTGAACCATTGCTTGGACAAAGCTCCTTGTCAAAGTATTTCATTTGGTAATAATAGATATCAAAAATTTCCCATCCACTGACATGATAAGAGTTTGAAAAGAAGCACATTCTGCAATTAATGTTAGGAGCATCTCTAAAACAATATATAGTACCAGTCTCAACAGAGACTGTGTTCAGCCCCCTCCAAGACCCCCAAGTCTTGTTTGCATTATTATTCACATTTTTATTTTGAAGTATGGGGCATGTATAATTTTCCAGGCAAATAAATGCCAACCAAAACCAACCTAGCAGCCTCCAGCAGGTCCTGGCTACAGGTCGTGCACCCAGGTAGCTACATCCCCCTCCCTGCCTGACCAAGAGCACTGGGACATCAGAATTAACAAAGAATTTGTGCTAATCCTGCTAATAAAATAACTTTACTCTGACCTCAATGTCCTCTCCAGCACTGGCTTATCAAAAGCATTTGCTCCCATCACTCATGGTCTGTGCTCTTTCTTTTTTTTTTTTCTTTTAAAAATGAAAACCAAGTGGTTGTAGAGCAAAATGCTACCTTTTAAGTTAAAAGATTAACAGCAAGTCTATGATCACATGTGTAGCTTGAAACTGATGTCCCCAAATCCTGCTAACTACAGTAATATAAAGCAAAACCACAAATGCACTTGTAAGCAGCTAAGCAATCCTGTAGGCTGTTGAACTTTAAAATTAGCCCTGGCAGATCCTGGAGGAAGGGTATCCCAGAAGGCATGTGTCCTCTGCTATGCACAGAGAGCACTCAGACCGTAGGATCCTATTGCACATATATCACTCCTGAATATATGGCTATACCTATCGCATGTCATCTGTATTTCACACATTAATTTTCTCTAAAAATACTTTGTATGAGAGAAAGGACACTGCTCTTGGCCACAAAGTGTTTGCCCCAAAAGCAGCCAGTGAGACTGAAACAACAGACTATAATTCCTTGCAATGGGACAAAGCTGTGGCTCACATTAGAGACACTGACAATTTAGGGCTTTACAGACCACAACCTGCAAGGATGGATTATTCTCCAAAGCAAAATGCTGAACACTAGCATGGTGAACATTACTTCAGAGGCAGATTGGTGTAGCCTTGCGATTTTCTATCTGGGGCTTCAGGGCAATTTACAAGTAGAGACTATTGCCATGATCAGCAGTGAGATTACAGAAGGCAGATTTGCTGTGATGAATCCAAAAATAAGACAGCTCCAGGCTTAAAGTTCAATGTGCCACACCTGCTAGCAGAGAATATATGATTGTTCTGATCTCCAGGCTGAAAATACTATGAGAAAGGGTTGGACATCCCCATCCAGCAGAGCCTCTCCCACTCCATCCTCCTGAGGCCAAATGAAATCAATGGTGTGAAGACAAGCAGTGCATCGATACCTCTGTGACCCCAAAACCTGCACTCTATGCTGCTGCTAAGGAAATTCAGCAAACTCAGGCATCCAGTGCCAGCAAGACCAGAACTCATCAATCTGACATTACAAAACTCCTTTGTTGAACAGCTCTAAACAGCACTACCTGCAAAAAGTCTTGTTAACTGTGAGATTAATAACATTTACTGGAAGCTAGGGTGGTATCTATGGCACTGTTTCAAGAGCTGAGGTGATCCTATTGCCCCGTCACCAGAACTCCTCCAATTTTAAGCTATTTGTGCAGTAGCTGAAGAAAAAATAATAATATTTCTTATAGGTAAAGTTATGCTTGAAACTGAGACACAATACGATGATTTTTTTAATCATGTCTTGCATAAATTATAAACTGTATATTGATTGCAAGGGTAGTTAAGCAAACTAAAAAGGTATAATGAGAGCAGGAGATGTCTTCCTGGCCTTGTGGGCTCAGGTGAGGCTATTCCCACTGCAAAACATCAATGATCAGTGCATTATGGTCTATTAAAGTAATACTTGGCTTATTAAACACTTACTTTGTTTGATACTTAAAAGCAAGTTGGGTATGCACCACAGAAACAAAGCTCTATTTTTGTAAAAAGCTGGGGAATAAAAACAAAGGAAAACCCTTAGAGCTCTAATTGGCAGCTCGACACAAGCAACCCCCTTTCATATGCTTGGTTTTGCTTCTTGTAATTCTTATTGCTGCTGTTATTATTAATCCACCAAAACATCACACTTCATCAGCTCTTCACTAGGCAATTTCTACTCGTCAATATAATCCTCAAAGCTTCCATCACATTTTGCACTCTCTTACATGACAGATGTAGAACCATATTCTTTTGAGTGTCTGTGGCAAAAATAAAGAGCTGATTCACCAGCCAGTGCTGCAATAGGCAGTGAAGGGAGAGGGTGCCAAGGCTGGAGGATGTTCTGCATTAACCCCACAAAGGTTTGGATTTTGGAGGTCAGTGAGCGCACTCAGCAGCAGCTATGGCAGGTCCCATTCAGACATCAGTCTGAGCAACCAGCATTGTAAGGCTCCTTTGAAAATACTGATTATCACCTTTTAAGGTGGGCAAAAATCAATTAATTTTGAGCTTCTAAAGGAAGGCCTTTGCTGGGGTGAACCTTGGCCACACAGTCACAGTGCCTTTTGCACAGATGCACTGCCTTTTCTTTCTATTTAGTGTAAAACCACTTCATCTTGGTTATCAGCCCCCTGAAGGTCAGGCTTATTTCTTTAGATCTATTATTTACTGCCTGAATTTCCAGTTCCACCTTTCTGGCTATTACAGCTTCTTTCCCCAACTCCTATTCTTTTCATGATAACTCCATATGATGACTGTTGATAAAGCTAGGAAGACCACGATTCTAAATGTCTGACCTTCTTCAAAATCTGATAATGGATACAGTTTCTGAATCATAGGTCATCTCAATTTTGCCAGTAAACCATTTATTTCCAGTGGCCTTCAGACCTCGAGGCTTAGTGTGCTCTGCAAAATGGATTCTTCAGGGAACAATAAAAGTAAGAGGGCCATCTTTAGCCTTTGCTTAGCACGACAGAAGGGATACTGTACCTTGGAGAGAATGTCTGTCCACAACATCTTATGCACCACAGTGCCTAAGACCTTCCCTGCTCCACATCCCCTGATGTTTCTATGAAGCTGACAGCTGTAAGCACCTAATGTGAACTAACTGCCTTTTCATTTGCAAACTACAAAGAAAGGACAGGAAAAATCCATGTCTCCTTAAACTCTCCCTACCTGCTGAGGGCTATCCAGACACCTTTACCATATTGTTCAACTTACAGCTCAAGGCACAGTGCCAGGTGTTACATCACTGCCTCAAACCTTGCGCTGCTGTGGTATGACCTGATTACACTATGCTTGTAAAAGCTGTGTGGGTGCCAAGGTACACCATTGCCTGGTGGCCTTCTTCATGGCTGCTCTGGAATGGAGTTCTCAGAATTCCTTGGTCTTACAAAAACACAGCCAGAAGTACAGTTCCTGTTAAAGATCGGCACTTCATTCCAACTACTGAGCAAGATGCAGAGAAAAGTGTGTCAAACACAAACTCCTGGCTTGATCAGGGCTTGGAAAGCTAATCAAACCTGGATTCTGAGCAGGGAGAAATGAGCAGGTGTTACTTACTGTCAAAGCTCCTGTGCTGTGCTGTTAGGGTTGCCTGCACAGAGCGACCAGCCTCTTTCATCATGGCTTCAAATTCACTGCGGCTCTTGTTCGCAAAGTTCTCCTCCATCTCACTGGTGCAGCAGGTGTAGCCTTGTGGGCAGATTCGCAGGTGCTCCCCTGAAATGAGAGAAAATGCAGTTTAATGGCCAGGTCTGGAAAAGGAAGGGTTTCACCCCAGAAAATCTCAGCTTAAAAATATCCCAGCTCCCTAGTAACCTGGATCTGCACCAGATCCCCTAATTGAGTTATCCTGCTTTAACATAGAGGTTAGTGCCACAGAATCACAGAATATTTGGAGTTGGAAGGGATCCACGAGGATCATCCCACAGAATCACTGGTCCTGCACAGGACATCCCCAGAATCACACCCTGTGCCTCAGAGCATTGTCCAAATGCTTCTTGGACTCTGTCAGGCTTGGGGCTGTGACCACTGCCCTGGGAGCTGTTCTAGCTCCCAAACACCCTGTGTCAGTGCAGGCACAAATCTTCTCACTGCTGACTGTGAGGGAAGGAAAAGTGAGGAGAGCACAAATTTGAGCAAATTCAAGGAAATGCAAGTGTCTCCTGTTCAAAGGCTGTCCTAGAATCCAACTCTGCCTACAATCCCAGAACACAAGAAAGTCTGATTAAATGACATACTGGCCGTCTTCATTAGATTTAACATGTATATTAGAACAGCTGTTTGAAACTATTTTGTCAGGAAAAAAACCCAACAACTCCTAAGTTCTCCCCACCCTCCAAAATCTATCCTGAGAAAGCATTTCCATAACCAGAGAGGTGAGACTAATGAGAAGTTTTCAAAAGACACAGACATGCTGAATGCCAGTGGAATTTGGGTGACTAATTCTCCTCCACACACATAGAAATTTTCCATGAAAAATATGTCTCCTAGAAGGAGACAGGACCACCCCCAAAAAAGTTGCTATGACCATCACTGACTGAATATACTCTTTGCTGTAGGAAAGAACAGGAAAGGTAAGAGGACTTAGCAGTGAAACTGAAAAATTCTCCAGTATGGAGCTCCTCCTGCCCTCTGCAATTTCTTTGCTGTGGAGAAGCAAGTGTTTGCATGGGCAGAGTCAGCAACATTTCAAAAATAATTGCTAAAGTTCTTGTGAGTCCTTACCAAGACACATCCACCTGCAAACACACCCTATGTTTCTCCTCACCCAGCAGTAAGAACTAATTTGAATGAAATCAAACATTTATTTTTTGAAAGAATAATAAAGCTCCCTTGTTCCAAGAATGCACTGAGATAAACCAATTACTGAGTAGTTACCATGCTTAACATAATTTGATTGGGATTGCCAGTGATTTTTCTGGCACTTTTACAGGACTGCTGGCTTAATGTCATAGCTGAGCCTAAATATCTTTAAAATCATGTTTTATCTTGTGTGTCTCAACAGCTTCAATCCCTGAACTTGCACAGCCTCCAGTTACCCATTCCTATTCCCCATCCTTAGCTATTTCCAGTGCAAAGCCTTTAGCAAATGGTTGCCTCATGGAATAAGGTCTCTGAAACTGGGCATGTGTCCTACCTGTTGAAAGCCATGTCATTAGCAGCCGAAGAGCAATTTTGACAGGAGTTGGTATGTTTTAGACAGACGCCATTCAGGATGAGTTTGCATTTTGCTGGCCCTTGGATCCCTGCTCACAGACAGCCCTGGAGCAACCTCTGCAGGGTGTGGGGTGAGCCTGCCCTTGGAAAACAGGGTATCAGGGGCATCTGCACCACCAGAGCAACTCCTCCTGCCTTTGTGATGGGAATTGCTGCTCACCAGCTTTTGTAGGAGTGTAACTCCCACCATCAGGCTTGTGCTGTGCTCCCAGCTGAGAGGAGTGTCAGGGAGGGCAGTGTGTCCCGTGGGACTCACTCCCCATCCCCACTAGCGCCCAGGCACCACTGTACAACAGGAAAAGCAGCAACTTGCTTCAATATAAAACCTCAAATATAAACATCATGTGGCTCAACACCTGCCAGACCAAATGCAGGTTCAGTTCCAGCTCCTGCTTAAGCCTCTCCTTTCCTCATGAACTAGATTGAGGCGAATCCCTCCCTGAGCTCCTCTCCGCAGAGCTGCGTTTATCGGCACAGGCAGGAAAAGCGAGCTGTAATTTTCTGACAAGACACAGCTTTGATTCCTGTCACTGCAAATTAAAAATTTTCTTCTTGTCCAAACTTTTCCATCCAATTTCTGCTGCCACAGGGTTTCTGGAGAGGATGGAAGTCATGTGGATGGCAGTTTTACTGTGGGATGCATCCTCCTATGAGGGCCTTGGTGCCCACAAGACAAAGTGAGGCCTTTTTGGCACCCAGCCTCTCTGAAAGGCAAGGAAACGGATCCCAAGGGATCCCAATAGTTCCCAAAAGTGCCTTTAGCACCTCAGCCTCTGGTGAATTCTGCTGGTGAGGTCCTGGTACTGCGCAGAGCCCTGGCACTAGCGGCAGCCAAGGGAATGAGCACTCCCACCACTCCTCTGTGCACCATCACCCTCCAGGGCCAGGGCAGCTGAAGCCTCAAACAGCTCTCT